CCCTTTAAATGCTCTTCAAAACAACACTGAAAGTGGATACATTTAAACGCTGGACCATGTTTACATTTGGTTTGATGTTTGTGGAAACTCAATGTTATTTCCTTCTTGTATGTGCTGCTCTAATACATCCCATTGATTCCATGCTTTATATTTTTTTCTTTGCAGTCAAAATCTTCATCTTCTATGTAATCTTCTATGGCTGCTTGGCTGGAATTTTCATTGGCACCATCCAGGCCATGCTCCTGACTCTCAGCAACTACAAGCCCACATACCAGGACAGGGTTGCACCCCCAGGTAACGAACCAACTCCAATGATGTTGAAGATATTACATGCCCAAAAGTGTTCAGAGGTTGGGTACTATTTGTACATAAAAGCTGTGAGAATGAATCACCAAACCAAAGAGATACAGAATGAACTACATGTACTTCACTGCTAAAAGTTGTTTTGACTGGCAGGGTTTTCGATAAGTACGATATGCGAAAGTGTTGTGAGAATGCTGTTGTGTAGTTGATGATTTTGACTAACATGGAAGCCATCTCGTGCACAATATGAAAGGTGTTTTTATGTCTAGCTGTGCATTACAGTTATGTTGTAGAATATTTTAAAATGCATGTGAAACTGAGATTTGTTTGTTACCTGGTTGACAAGGTTCACAAGAGGCCTAGCCGTCACAGTAATTGAAGTAATTGAAGCAGCAGGAACATGACATGTTATTCTTTAGCAATGATATGGAAAAATGGAAAGAACAAACTGTTTTGGGGACATTCTCGTTTACACGCACTCGAACTGTTCCATAACGCTGGAAGTTAATTTAGTTTCTGCAAACCCTGTGACATTTCGGCAGCTCTAATGGTCTGTCTGACCTCAGCGAGAGAGGGTGGAGGTGGTAGGAGTGTGAGGGAGGAGAAGGAGAGACACGCACACAGAAAGCCATTTTGACCTTCACTTCCTGGCTAGCCTGACGAGGCTTCCCGTTTGGGTTCTTACAGCAGAGTTGTTCCGCATTTACACACTTCACATTTCTTTGATCTGGTATGTCTTGTAGTATTTCAGTCGGGGTTGGTGGTATCGGCATTAGTGCACTTAAACACCTTTGAAGCAGTTTACAACAGGATCAGGGTTTATCACTAAGCTTGTTTTGCACAAACAAGAATGTTTTGCAATTAAACTTCAGCTAAAAACGTGAAAAAAGAAACTGTGGAGAGCATTGTACACTGCACCTTCCATAATCCCCGTTAGGTTGCCCGTTGGTCCACTGCCAGCCATTCGCCACACCAGCCATGCCAGTGAATGTTTGCATAGTGCACACTCCCGCCTTCGCATTACATTTATCTGTCTTCGTTAAAGCCCTGAACATAAACGCCTCTGCCAAGAAGAACCGTTTCCCCTTTAAGAGAGGCGGGAACGGGCGGGAGGGAGGCGGGAGAAGACTTCCCCTTGAAGTCTAAAAAGAAACAACATGAGTAGGAATGAAGTGGAGATAACCATGGTGTGCAGCTATTTGCTGCAAAGAAGGCCTGATGTAGAAAAGACATGCTGCCTGCGTTAAAGTCCCGCCTCCCTCTCAGGGGCTAAAAGTTTCCATTGTGTGAAAGAAGCACGTGAGGTTGTGGAGAGGAGGAGGGGGAAGGCTGGGAGACTCTCACAGGCTCTAACCGGAGTCTTAAAAGTGTATTACACAATGAACTTCCCAATGGACTAAACACAAACTTCCCATGTGCAATAAGTTAGAAGCTCCTCTTTTGTACCAGCTGCAGCACATGCACGGAAGGTCATTACCAGCTTGTTGAAACAAAAATTGGCATTAAATACAATATAAGGTTTCCGTTTGCTTGTTCTCTTCTGCTGGCTCTGCTCACGCCACGCCCCGCTTTGGTCGTACGTTCGAGCCGGTGGAAAATTACTGCCAAGCTGGGAATCTGAATAGCAAACTTCCATGACAATGAATGGACCAGGCTTTCTCCGCTCTTGTAGCTGGAGGGAAAATTACTCTTCTAAATGCAAATTTTTATGGTTGACACCAGTTGTTGGGCCACATTTAACCTGCTTTACACATTTTCTGCTTTACTTACAGGCTTATCACACTCCCCACGCCCGGACAAAGCAGAGATCAGCTACTCCATCAGCGATAATACGACTTACAGTGCATATGTGGAACATATGAAGGAGTTTCTGAAAGCATACGAAAAAGACAGCCAGGGTGACGAAAGCAAATTTGAAAACTGCGGAGGTACAACAAGTTCTAAGATTATCTTTAAGCTATATATATGTCTCAATAAAACCAAGCTTTTAGCTGTATTATGAAGTAGGTCAGCTAAAAAGGGTACAGTTCAGGAAGTGATCTCCTACATCACTCCCCAGCTCTGTCATATGATCTTCATTCACAAGTCAACAGTTTGTGTTTTAGCCACTGCTTAGGTAGACAATCGGGGCTTTATTTGACCCATTGTGCTGTCCTGCATGCCTGTACACTGTTGTAGTAATGACAAGCAAATACAGTTGTATTAGTCAGTAATAAGGTTTAATGTGTTTCATGTTCAGACAAACCCCAATCCTATACGGAGCGTGGAGAACTGGAGGGCAGTGACGGCGTGAGGAAGGCCTGCCGCTTCGAAAGAGAGTGGCTGAAGGATTGCTCAGGAAAGAAAGATGACACATTCGGCTTCAAAGAAGGCAAACCCTGCCTCATCATTAAACTCAATAGGATTGTGAATTTCAGGCCACGGGTGAGTTATTTTGTTATTCAAGATCATCCCATCAATATTAACCTACTTACTGCCATTGTATATACATCAGGTGCTTGCAAACCATTTTTCTTAGCCTGAGGCAACATTTACCTTAATATTGGGATTGTATCATCATACTGTCGTTCTCTCTCCTCAGCCTCCAGCTTCCAATGACAGTATCCCTGAGCCAATCCACCCTAACTTTCATGGCAATCTGATTCCAATCCACTGCACAAACAAGGTAAGAAATACTTACAAAGCATCTTGGTAAAAAAAATATAGAGACATATAGGTTAGCCTTTTTTTTTTTTTACATTTAGAATACCATAATTATACTTTTTTTTTATATATAAAAAAAATGCAATTTAATAACACTGTTTAATGTAATCTTTATCAAATAACAAAATATCCTTTTTTCATACAGTATATTATAACATTTAGACAAAACAGCATCAAATATCAGCTATAGTATAATTGTAGATTCAGATTTATGCATGTGGCAAATGCTTTAATCCAAAGCAGCATGTATTGCATTCAAGGGACAGATTTACATTTTATCAGTTCTCGCATTTCCTGGGAATCAAACACATGATGTTGGCTTGTCATGCTCCACTGTTTGAGCTACAGGAATGCATTATTAATTATTATTATTAGTAGTAGCATTATTAATTATAAGAATGGACTAGAATTTGAATATCAGTGCATCTCTAGTCTATTTTTCCAGTCAAGTCTAAGCAAAGAAATATACACAGTGATGCGAAATTCAGTACTCCATGTGCCGTAGTGCTCCGGAGATTGATCTAATACTAATTCTGGTTGTTAACAGAGAGAAGATGATGCAAAACATCTTGGACCGGTCGAGTACTTCGGGCTGGGGGCTGGTTTCCCCCTCCAGTATTATCCTTACTACGGAAAGCTGCTACATCCCCATTACCTCCAGCCTCTGGTGGCCGTCAAATTCAACATCACCGTGGGTATCGAAATGCGCATAGAGTGTAAAGTATTCGGACAGAACATCGATTACAGCGAGAAGGATCGTTATCAGGGACGTTTCGATGTCAAAATCACCATCAAGTCATGACCTTAGCTATAAAAAATAGCACTTTTTTTCTGCCCATTTCGAAACACAGTCATTTTAGATGAATAAAGACAAGTACAAATTCAATTGGAAAAACAACTACGACAACTAGTCTTGAACAAAGTTTCATAACATACGGGACCTACACTTAATCTGTACGCTTTACACTAGCTTTCTCTGCATGTCTAGGGTTAGAATGTAAATTACAGGAAGAGTAGCAATAGCAAAGTATTTATTCTACTGTAAATGAGAATATTCCGTGAGCCATGGGACATTCATTTATTACTGTAAATTATAATTCCACTACTGATGTAGCGAGCAGTGTTTCTGTCCCCTGAATATTTCTGCCTAGTGTGGTCTCTTTATATTTTATGGAGTGTGCAGTGCAGTAGTCGCATACAATGGTCCTTTCCAAGCCATGTTGTCATTTCTGTTGTCTTATGCCAGAAAGCCTTAGTGGTCCAAGGTGTGTGTGTGTGTGTGAGAGAGAGAGAGAGAGAGAGAGAGAGTTTGAGTGTGAATGTGCGTATTCGTCTACTTAAAAACTGAAAAACTGGCATGGTACGCTCTGAACTCCCCAGGTCTGTGTGTGTTTGTAAGTGACTGCACTCCGTTCATCCTTTTTTCCCCCCTTTTCTTTTCATCTTTTCCATTGATTGTGGGGAATATGTTTTTACATCACCTTTTGACTTTTTATTTGATCGTCTTGTAATTTGGGAAATGGGGGCTATTGACAATTCTGTGTAAGGCTTATTATTTTCCTTCACTATTAAGTGTAGAACTGTGTGTCTAGTCTGGAGGACTGAAGTGGTCACTATGGCAACTCAGTGCTATGATTTTTATTTTTTTTTGTTCCGGACACATCACATGACGTGGTGTTACTTTCTAATGAATGTTTTAGCCATTTTCATGGTGGAAGAATTTTATATTTATGCAGTTGTACAATTTTTTTTTTTCAGCAGGAGAAAGTGTGATGTATGAATCCAAAAAACCAAAGTCACTGGTCAAAGGTTAGAAACCTATCAGATGCAACGCAGTACCCCATGTAATAAGATTTTTTTGTTTTGTTGTTTAAAGTTCTTAAAAGTCATTGTTGGACATCAGAACACTTGTCAAGAGTTGTTGCATTTGCTCTTGTAATGTTATTTAAATCTGGGTAAGTCCTGAGAAGAAATAAATGGACAGACAACTGAGGTATTGTTGAAGTGGTCTTTATTTAAATAACTGCTGGATGGTCGTCTCTCGTGGTTGCTTCACACATCTAAAATCTTAAAGAAATATTGGACCTGCAAAACAGTGCAGACAGTTTCCATAATGACACTGACAAAAGGTCAATACTTTGACAAAAGTTGTGTCCCAAATGACACTCTATGCACTATGTACTGTCTTGTGTATGAATTTTATAAGGTTATTTTGTCATCCAACATGGGAGTTTGATAATCCTGTAAACCTACAACAGCTGAAATGCACCACACAACGGATTTCGCAGTCTGGATGGATGCTAGTTTTCAAAAGTCAGTGCTAGTCTGCAGATTTTGAGCAGTTGGAGCTCTCAGATTTGACAGAAAATCCTAGTGTATAATAGACCTAATCTTCGATTTTTAGCTTCAGACTATGATTCCATCCAGTCAGTGGATATAAAACATTTCATATTTTGAACTGATTTTGTTTTCATTTGTCATTTTCATTCTCACACGATTTATACTAAAAAATAGCATAGAATATTGCATACTTACGTGGATTGGAACGTCCCTAATGAGAATTTGTAAAAAATAATGACTTACATTTAAAAAAAAAAAACCTGTGTTCACTTGAGACGCTATTTTAGCACTTCATCAGGCCTCAGCATCAGCTCACCAGCTTGTTTTACTTTCAAACAATTGACTTTCCCTGAATCGTGCCTGTTACGGCAGCTGGCGTCTGTGCTGGGCCTCTGTGAGGCCTGAACTCTTGGAATGTCATGGCTGAGTCGGTCAGACTCAGCAGGCAAATGATTAACAAGGGGCCATTTGTGCTAGGAGGCTGGACAGATCAGGAGTTGTGCACAACAATGACGTCCACCGGGCCAAACCCACTGCCTGGCATAACAATGCCTTTTTCTTCTACCAAACCGACTCTACCAGCCTGCTTCCCTTCCTGTGAGACAAGCCGGGCTGTAGGTCTGCCTCGGCCCACAGTGGACAGTCATGAGACCTGGATGCCATTTTGTTCTAGGCTTTATAAGCATTTGTGGGATCCAGAATTTTTTTTGACGGCGAACACACTTCCTCAACATGAGCAAAATGTGACTAAATACAAAACGTGACTGTGTGGCTCTTGCATAACATTTGAATGAGATTTGCTAGAGCTCACCTCCAGAATCCCGTCTTCCGGTAGATCGGTGCAGTGAACGGCATTCTGCACTTTGTTTTTGCCGTAGAGCGCTCGCAAAGTGGTGGGCCGAAGGTGGCGTGCAATTTCCTGTAAGGAAACAGAAGACATTACATGATGACAGCTCTGTGATGGGTTACAGTAAGAACAATGGAGCATATGCTTTGAACAGGGTTTCCTTGGTAGAGCAATTGGATAAAAGCACAGGTGACGATGCATGTGCTGTGATAGTTAATCGTGGTCAACGCTGCTGGGAGATCACATAACATACACTCTATCCAGCGAATCGGGTTACTCACACGTGCTTGTTCACATTACTGCAAACATCAGCTACATTAACAGTCCTCCTTGAGTCACTTCTTTCAACTCAACGCACACACACACACACACACCCAAAAACTTTCAATTTAAACTCAAACGTGAAGGGACAGTTCACCCAAAAAATGAAAACTCTGTCATCATTCACTGACCCTCAAGTTGTTCCAAACCTGTATTAGTTTCTTTCTTCCTTTCAGTACAAAAGTTGCTGTTTTTAAGAATGTTGCTAACCGAACAGTTGATGTTAACCATTGACTTCCATAGTATGGAAAAAAAATACGATGGAAGTCAATGGCTACCGTTGACTGTTCGGTTCTTAAAAACATCTTTTGTGTTCAAATGGAAGAAAGAAACTCGTATCGGTTTAGAAAGACATGAGGGTGAGTGAATCTTTCAATTTAAACTCAAACGTGAAGGGACAGTTCACCCAAAAAATGAAAACTCTGTCATCATTCACTGACCCTCAAGTTGTTCCAAACCTGTATTAGTTTCTTTCTTCCTTTCAGTACAAAAGTTGCTGTTTTTAAGAATGTTGCTAACCGAACAGTTGATGTTAACCATTGACTTCCATAGTATGGAAAAAAAATACGATGGAAGTCAATGGCTACCGTTGACTGTTCGGTTCTTAAAAACATCTTCTTTTGTGTTCAAATGGAAGAAAGAAACTCGTATCGGTTTAGAAAGACATGAGGGTGAGTGAATGGGGGGGGTCAAAATTCACCACTGACCAAATGGGTTGTTAATAAAAACTTGGCTATCTATGCAGAATGAATAAATAAATAGGTGCTATACAGAAGACAGCGAAAAAGGGCTGTGGTGTTTTTTTTAATGCAGTTTTGATTTTAGCGCCGCCTCTCTGTTGATCCTACTGTCTGTGGGCAGGAAATGGGAATACAAAAATGCGGAAGTTCAATCTGTAGTTTTTACAAAAGCCCTGGAGTTGTCAAAAATCTGTCATTTTGTGTCATCCAGTGGACTTTTTCTGACAAATAAACCAGGATATCGGAGTGCAGGCAACGTGGAGAAAGAGTCCACATTGTTTATTTACATATACTACCAACATTGTAACTATTATTAACCCTTTATTTAACCAGGCAAGTCACTTAAGAACAAATTCTTATTTACAACAATGGCCTGGCAATGCAAAGCTGGTTGAAAATTGACAAAAAAATCTAGCATTAAAATGAAAGCAACAATATTCACTTGTAACACTGAAGGTGCAGTCTCATTTACTGTTGCTCAGCAAATTTTCGGTGGTGAAATCCAGTCATTCCAACAGGAATACACACGATCAGGATTTCGCATGAGGGTGGAAAAGTTCCCCACGCAGATTTCGCTAATGTTTAAGTTGGTCCCACGAATTTGCCGCACTGACCAGCAGAAAGCAACTTCTGTGTGAGATGTGCTTCATATATCTCTATACTTTTGACCAGTTTTTTTGCACACAAAATTTCACTGAAATTTCACACCTTAAAATTACTGTTTGTTTTATTTAGACAAAATCCTATAGAATTTTTCAGAATTTAATGGTTATCAATACTGTCAGAAAATTTTTTGCATCAACCCATGAAAGGTGCATGTTAGTAATTTATGGTAGTATCTTTGTACACTGAAAAAAATGCTACTAAATTTTTTAAAAGTAAGTGGTCGCAAACATTTTATTTTAGCAACATTTAATAAAAAAAAAAAAATGTTGAAAGTTAGTCAAATAAATTTGTTTATTTAAATGTAGCTAAAATAAATTGATTGCAACCACTTTAAAAAATGTAGTAAATTCAATGAACAATTTTTTTCAGTGTACCCTTAAGTTACTATTATGAGCCTTTAAATAAGGTAAAATTTTTACACACTTGTTTTCAAAGAGTGAGCCACAGTATCAAAATAATAATCAGTTTATCGGTGTTGGACAGAATTTAAATATCAGTGCATCCCAAATGAAAACAGTTTTAAGTTAATTCAGAATCGTGACATTATTTGTGTGAAACCCAACCTGCTGTGTTATTTTCTCTGGTCAAGCTCATCTCAACTTGACATTAACACCAGGCTGGCAAAAAGAACAGGCTGCTCAGCATTCTGGGCATGCTGTCATCTAGCAAAAAAAAAAAAAAAGTCTCACATTTAGGACTTCAGACACAAGCAACAAAATGGAACTGATGTAGTTGAGTGTAATGGTATAAGCGATTTAAAAATATATATATATATGATCATCTTTACAAAGGTGCACAAATGTTAAACAAATACTGCTCCCCTGACATTACAGCTTTACAGTAGTTCAAGGGGTCTTGGCTGAGCTTACTATGAGTTTATATTTCACTGCCCTTTCAGCAGAATGTTGGACTAATACCAGGTCTTGTCTTTAATTCACGCTCACGTGTGCTTCTCATTCAGAGCTCAGCTGGCCAACTGGCTTAGGCTAAAATGGAACATGATGAAATGAAATATTCCCGAGGACACAAACCCCGGCTGCTCTGCTGTCCTCTGCTAATCTCTACCAGTAGGAAATTTAACTCCCCATCACCGCCCATGAGGGACGGGTTATCTACATGTAAATAAATTGGGTTTCCTTAGCCACACCCATTTTGTCACCTCCATTTTGATCTCTGGATTTACATTTCAGTGGCCTGGAACTTGCTGAGGACCACACAGTTCAAACAAAGAGGGAGTATTAAGCGACCACACATTGTCATGAGAGAAAGTCTGAGGCAAAATTAGTGTTTTGCTTTCAATAAAGAGCACTGTCTGTAACATATGGTTTCCTTTCTTAAGCTTTGGCATATTTAGAGACTCTTGCTGGTTAGTAATTATCCTTATCTTGTTGACTTAGAAAAGGAACACGAAGACAATGAAATCCTTCCTTTCTTTAGTTTTATCTAGATATAATGTCTTCTTTTGATTACATTAAAACAAGACAGAGAATCTGATGTCATGGATACAAGTATAAAGACATTAGCAAGCTTCATTCGGTTCTTAGTAATGAGGCACATCCTCATTTGATTAAACAGATGACTAACACACATCACTGAGGATTGCTTTTTAAAAAAGTATGAACAGTTTGTGTAGGCAATACTGGCAGTCTAAATGTCAACAAAAAAGGAAAACAAAAAAAATTCAAATGCAACACAGGGTGCTAGTACAGAAATAAGAAAAAAATATACTAAAACGTATATATAACATGGTACATAGGGCTGGGTAAAAAATATCGATATCTCGATATTAAACGATTCTCATTTTTACGAAACGATATTGATTCTTAAATCCCAAGAATCGATTATTCTAGCCTGTTTTCAGTTAATGGACGGAACGTTGAAGGGCATTCCCCAACCAATATATCGCAATAAGCATTGTGCTTTGGTACTTTTAATATGAAACAAAGTCTCAGATTTCCATTGTATTGCAGTATTCAAACAATAAATGAAAATAAACTGTAGAGAGGGGCATTTTGCTAAATATATGCACCATATAACATATTCATTATAAATTTTACTGTTCTTCAATGTTTAATTTATGTTTGAATAAACCCATCAAGTTTTTATGACAGCCACCATTATGTTTGTATTTCAAAAAAACAAATTGAAGTAGAAATATTTTTATGTAATTGTAACTTTATCATTTTAAAAACTTTATTAAGTGTAATTTTAACAAATCAGTCAATTTTAACCTTCAATATTATAGTAATGTAGAACCAACTGACTCTCATGTATATTTTACATCATTAGTTAAGAGATTTATTTTTCCTTGAGAAAATTTGGCATGTACTGTACCTGATATATATATCCAAAATAATCGATATTGAATCGAATCGAATTGGTAATGGAATCGAATAGCAAACTTGTGAATAAGAATCGAATCGAATCGTGAAATTTGTGTCAAAACCCAGCCCTAATGGTACATGAGAAGTTTATCATCTAGTACTATGGTAAACATCAAAGCACCATGCTTACCATCTGATTTACCATATTACTGCCACCATACTTTTTGAAAGTTCGAAAATTTGCGGTCAGTATGATTTTTGATGTTGAAGTCCTTATCCTCACCAAGGCTGCATTCATTTGATGACAAATACAGTAAAACAGTAATATTGTGAAATAATATTATTTCAAATATTTTAAAATGTAATTTATTCACGTGATGAAAAAGTTGAATTTTCAGCAGCCATTAGCCATTTTAGCTTTAGTGTCATTCAGAAATCATTCTAATATGCTTATTTGGTGCTCAAGAATCATTTTTAACGCTGAAAACAGTCGTGGTGCTTAAAATTTTTGCAGAAACAGGCTTTTTTTCAGGATTAATTGATGAATACAAAAATTTTAGCAATTATTTGAAATAGAAATCATTTGTAATGTTATAAATGTCTTTACTGACTTTGATCAATGTAAAGCATCCTTGGTTATTAAAAATAATTCACTTTAAAAAAATAAATTAAAAAATCTTACTGACCAAATCAAACTTTCGAAATGTAGTGTACATTTCATCAGAACATTTTTCTTAACAGGGCTTTGTTTTAAATAGCCAAATTATTGTTTTAGTCTGACTGGAATTGAACTTTGAAAACATATGCAAACACGCATACATTTGCTGGCAGTGAGGTTCATTTTCAGTGCTGAGACAATTCCTGGCAAAGCTGGCTCACTATAATAGCGTTAGTTACCCGAAAGTGACCTGCAGCCACTGAGCTTAATGTCACTGTAATGAGTCCTGCCAAGCCCAAACACTGACGGTCACACACAAACTACAGGCTACGGTTCCAAACAAACAAGCTAAGGGAGTTCATT